GGTCTGCGGCGTTCCTGGCTGCGTGGGCATGAAGAGCTGTGAGTGCCGGGATGGCGCGGGGCACTGCCTGGGCTAGCTCCCCGCTCCCCACTGCTCCAAGGGTCTCCTCTGCTGAGCACGTGGTCATGATGGAAGAGGGATATGGGACAAGAGAGCACAGCCGTGGCCACAGGAGCCACCCTTGACCTTGAAGGTGACAAAATCTGGGAGAGTTGCACCATACTGGGGCTGCCTGTGCTGCCATGTAAAAAAAATGGGAGCTGGACTCAGGCTCAGGAGGCAGCAGGCAGTGCTGCACAAGCACCTCAGTCAGCCTGTCACTCAGTGTCACTGGGGAAAGAAGTCACCGTGGCTTGGGAAAAATCCTTCTGGTTCATCACAGCATCTCGCTTCTCCTACCAGCAAGTGCTCCAGCACAGACAGGTCTCTGTTAATAAACACAAGTCTTTGATATCGCCCATTCACCAACTCTTTGGTTTCATATAGCCCGATCTGCCTGGGAGGAACCCAGCAAGCCTGGTGAAACCACACGCGTGTTCCTCTAGCAGACCTGCAGCACATCCTGCTTGGGAAGCTGGGGGACAGCCCCAAAACTGAGGGTACCTTCAGTAGGCAGAATCCCAAAGCAAAGCCAGGAGCACCTCTGGGAGGAGCTGCAGGGCAGGAACATGTTCAAAAGGCTTTTGCTGCTGTTCCTTGGAAGTGCCAGGCTGAGCTGAGCCGGGGATAAGGAGGTACTCCCTACTCAAACAACAGCGCCGTGCACCTGAGCTGCCAAGGTAGTGGCTAAAACAGGACCCCTGCGAATGACCAGGGATCGGTTCTTCTTTAGGCAAAGAGCAGGACCAGGTCGTCAGAGGTGGAAGAGATCCTGCCATGAGATGTGGGGTGGCTTCCTTCCTCCCGGAGCGCCTCTGTCCCCACAGGGCACGAACCCCGCTTCTGCCAGACAGAGCAAGTGCCCAGGATGAGCAGACACCTGATGGTCATTTTACACATTTACACACCTGGCCTTGGCAATGGCCCCGACAGTAACAGCAACCTGCAAACCATCCCTCCTTCCTGCCAGAGCCAGGCCAGGAGCAAAGGCAAGCACTGCGCTGGGAGGAGGCAGCACCCAGGGCCACCACGGGCCTCCTGGGCCAGGCACTTTCTGCTCCATGTCGTAACTTCCCCAGGTCTCAGCTCTCAGGAGAACCACAAAGGGAGAAGACCCCCAACATCCAGACGCTCGGACGCTGCGGTGACAGGCCACCCAGGCACCAGTGGTAGGGAAGCCATCACGGTGACATCTGTGCCCATTCACTTCTCCAGTATCAGCCTAACCATCCTTGCACCCGGCGGATGCTGTGGGCTCCCCAGAGACCGTGGCTGGTGCCCAGCAGTGGCTTGTGGGCTGGACCAGCAGCGCTGGGCTTGTGAGAGCCCCCGAGAGGCTGGAAGCTGACTCAGAACAGGGACTTCTTCAGAAGCACTTCTGCCCATACACTAATGGGGATCAGGGGGGAAGAGGGGACAGAATCGCCATCCTGCTGGCTTGCTGCACCCCTGGATGTGCCAGGCCTGGTCCCAACCTCTGCCATTGTGCCATGATTTGCATCCAAATCACCTCCGAGGCATGCACATGCCCCCTAGACCAGCAAGCAGAGCTAGGGTGGCATCCCATGAGCACCTCCTTCCCCCAAACACAGGCAGGGAGAGCTTCCTCAGCATCTTTGCAGCTGATGAGCACTGATACACCACCTCGCTGCACTTGGCTGGGTTCTTACAGAAGCTACCTCAGGCAGCTGGAGGCTCAGAGCAGCCTTGAGCCCAAACGATGTAATCTTATCTGAGACAGGGCTTCCTGGACCCCTGGGCAGCTCTCAGCACCCAGTACACTTCTCTGCAGTGAGAAAGAGCCACGTCATGCCTCGGCAGTGCCCGGTTTCCTCCCAGCCAGTTGAGGAGAACATCTACCTGTTCAAGCCCAGGAAGCTCTGCGTGGTGGAAAGGAGCACTGGGCAGCTGTGCAGGGTGTGGAGCCAAAAGAGGCAGAACAACTTGGAGTTACAACCTTCACTAAGCTGCTGAATCAACCTGAAATTCAGGCCTGCTGCCGGAATACAGCTGCTGGAAGCTGGCAGCACAGGCTGAGACACTAACCCTGCCCGCAGGCTCAGGACACCAGTGTAACAGGAAAGAGACTCAGCACCCCCAAAGCTGCTGTAGCTGCTGGCCACTCCTTTGCAGGGCAGAGCTTTCAATTTGTTTATTTACCAGGCAGGATTTTTTTTTCAGGTTTTTCCAGATTTACACTCTTGGCAGAAGAAGAGCCAGCCTGCCTAGCAATGTTCCCCTAGAAGAAGCTCCAGTGATTAGTCTGGAGGCAAAACGGAAAGCAGAGAACCTCAGCCACGATTGAAGTTTCTCCACCCAGAAGAAGAAGGGACTGGGAAGGAGCAGGTGGAAAGGGAAGGCAAACCAGCCCAGACAACTTTCCCAAGGTGGAGGAAGTCACCGCGCTTGAGTGCTGCAATAACAAACACCAGCTCCTCACACAGACCTTTGTGTCTGCAGATCTCAAAGCGCTTCACAAATCTAGATAAAGAATTATTACCCACACCAGACAAGTCCAGAAGCCTGGCTTCCTTGTAACGTCTCCTCCTGCCTAGCAACAAATCAAGATGTCAGTGAAATAGCCTTCCCTTTGCCAATGTCAGTGTGCCACTGGGGGCATGGGGGGCCCTGACAGACCCAGCAAAGGGACCCCAGGTCCTGAGGAAGGTGCAGAGTCCACAGAGACCTGCTGGTGAGCTCTGCAGACCGAGCCCTGGCCTGCCCGCTCAGACAGTGCTTGGGGACAGCACAGCGTACATCCCTGATGCTGCTTTCCCGTTTAGTTACTGCTTTATTATTTCTTATTGTAAATAGTGCTCCTGAATTATCCAAACAAAAGAGTTGGATGAGGTTTCACTATTTTTTTTTGGTCCAAAACGTGGGTGAACTAATGAAGTAAGCTTTCCTGAGAGGGCAGACCCCCAGCACGGGGCTGCTCCGCGAGCACAAGCACGGCGGCCAAGCTGCTCGGCTCTGGGAGAGCCCGGGGCCCAGACACTCTCCCGGCTGCATTACCCACCCCCGGAAGGTCACCGGCAGACCCTGGGCCAGGGGACAACCACAGACACGTTACAGTAAAGCCCTTAATTCTTCTTGTCCCCACTGTGAGCACACAAGCTCCCCCGCGAGGAGCGATGCGCCGGGAAGCACGAACCCGCGGCAGGCA